GGTAAAACCAATCAACACTATGGCTGTGAACATAAACAGTTTCATAGCTTCTTGGTTTGCTTCAACTCGTTCCAATTTATTTATAATTTGATTGAGTTTGTCAACATCATAATCATAGCCTCTCTCATCTTCATTCTTCATATGACTAGCTTTACTTTTCCTTTGGATATCTGATGCATTCCCAGTCGATGCCGGTCCCCACCCAAAGAACTCGCACATCCTATTTGGACACTTGAAATACAGCCTCTCTGGATTTTTCTCTGATTCTGATATGAACACTACAGCTTTTTTTCCACAATTGCATCTCTGATTTTGCAAATATCCAGCATCAATGTTTGAACCCATTGACATTGACATGATCCTAGTAAGAGCATTTTCCACAATTACAATCAGTCCATTAAGACAACATTCAAACAAAGCTGTAAAATAAAGCACTAATCAATGATATAATAACCATTTGTCTAATAAACATTGTCATTTTCATGTTCATGTTAATTCTTAATGTTATTTTCATGTTCATGTTCATCCTAGTCATATACATAGTTCATGTTCATGTTCATCCTATACATAGTTCATGTTCAGTCCTAGATCATATTCATAGTTCATGTTCATGTTCATCCTAGTCATATACATAGTTCATGTTCATTCTTAGATCATATACATAGTTCATGTTCAAACCAGTAAAATAGCAAATTGTTGTTTACATGCATTGCCATTATTCATGTTTTGTTTGACACAGGCAACTACCCTGTTTATTCATGTTTTCAATAACCATTGTCAACATGAATTACAATGGTTTAAGGTAATAAATCTCTTTCAAAAATCCACCTATCTTCATTTTTCCAAAGTTTGCCTTTAGTTAATTGGGTCAAACATAAATACAGGCACAAGAATAGTACCCACCACCACCTACCATCTTGGTCCAATATTGATCAAACAGTCCTGCCATATAAAATTCAACAAAGTTGATAAAAAAGGTTATTATGTTTCATGGTTTTCTTGCACTATATTTTCATGCTCACTTTAATATTTTCACTAATGGATCAATGCTATGTGTCAATGTTTTCTTGAAAATTCACACCTATACACTTTCTGTGACCTCAAGGTCTAAAATGCCAGCCATAACCCCAGCTGCCAATAAATTAGGCTCAATATGACTATGGTTAACCCATTTCTTGTGCAGCATAGACATAGCAAACATGTGGAGGTGCCTATCATAATGATATGTGTCAATGTTTTGTCCGGAAATGATAAACCATCGAGTCATACCACCAAGTCATTCCATATGGTCATATAAGGTCCATATACATGGTATGACTCACTGGTATCTCTAGCATCGCAGTTTTTTCTTCCACACGCTTGTGTGAGGTTTGATTCAAGTTACCCTTCAATCCATGTTCCTTCTTTATTTGCTATCACTACACTACCCCACCAATAATACACTGTCAAGCTCTGTTTTTGGATCTTGGATGTTTTGGATGTTTGGTTCAGTTTTCAGATTTTTTTTAAAATTTTTTTTTTCAAAAATACCAAAACTAAACAGGGCAGTCCTATTTGAATCATGTCACTATTTGATCTATATTGTTCTTGTGCCTCATTCTGTTGCTATATAAAAGGAAAAAAATTTGAATCATGTCTCTCTTAGATCAAAAAGGGCAGTCCTGGAATCACTAGAAGGTGTTCCTGATATCTATGAGCAGATTTCAGGGATCATAATGGAGTACATTAAACCAGAGGAGAGTATTATTCTGAATGTTTTATCTGCAACAGTTGATTTCCCAACAAGCGAGTTGATAAGGAAATAAATGAATTCAAGGACTCAAAGACTCAAAAATGAATTCCTCAATGATTCTGTGTCAAAAGTGTCAAATAAAAGGAAAAAAAAAAAATTCTTTTTCAATAGAAATGTGGAACCCAGATTAACACAAATCTAATTTCAGAAAAATTCATTTTGAATCATACATTTTGAACCCAGATTAACACACATAAAAAAAAGGGAAAAAATTCATTTTGAATCCAGATTAACACACATAAAAATTCATTTTCAATCATGTCTCTATTTGATCTAATTACATCAAATGGTGAACATTGAATAGATTAACACAAACATTGGGAATAATTTCGGAATAACACCAAATCAAAAAAAATTTGCAAAAATTTAATAGAAAACACACCAAATCTGTTTCAACAACAAATCCATCAGACTCAACATAAATCAAAAGCATCTATTGGCAACAAAACCATATAAAAAAAGTAATAAAAGACGAAGGGAGAAAAATGATCCTGAAGACGAACGGACCTCGTCGCTGTCGTTTCGCCGTCATCTCTGTCGTTTCCCCTCGCCTCACCGCTGCCTCTCCTCTTCTCTCATCTCTTCGTCGTTTCGCCTCTACTCTCAATTCGTCTGAGTTCTGAAGCAACACTAGGGTTCTAAACAGTTCTGAAGCAATGTGAAAGAAACGAGGAAAAAAAAAATTAATACAAAACGACGTCGTTTTGTATAGCACTGCAGGAATGTATGGCAGAAGATCCGGACTTAACCTTGAAAGGTGGGAAACACAAGGGTAAATGCCTTGAAAGTAAGGTGAAAAGAAGGGTGAACCACCCCTCAACCTTTATTGGCCTTAAAACCCAAGTTTCAGCCCAAAAATACGGAGTTTATACAACCTCAAAACAGTTGGAAAACAGTAGGAAAAAGAGTAAATAAAGCATCAAGAGAGGCAAAGTTTTATACCTCTTGAAGTGGAGAACTAATTCTAGGCAACAAATCAAGACAAACATACCCTCAAGAGCTCAAACATGGCTCAAAGGGATTTCAACTCAAAGATGGAGATGTTTGGTTAAGAGTGCATAGGCAAAAGCTTACAAAAAGCTAAGAAATTTCAAGAGAGAGAGAAAGAGAGAGAGAATTATAGAGAAAGAGACAAAGAATTTTTGCTCTAAAAATTCCAACCTTAAAAATAGAAGGAGAGGCCTCCTATATATAGAAAACCATGTAACTCCCTTAGAAATATCAAGACATACACGTGTAGGAAGGTGCATGTATCTGTGCCAACAGCTGGCACAGTTGGCAGAAAAATATCTGCAAAACACATTGGTGGCCAAGAACCAGAAATAATGGCCGGAAGCCAATAGAAGGAGTCGGTAGGCCATAAAAGGTTGTAGGCTTGAAAATCTCTAGTTTTGATCAAAAAATAAGGCAATAGAGGTGCAAGGTTTGAAGGCTTCAAAGTTGTGGCATTCCGCTGAGGACTTCGAGCACTTGTCAAGCATATACACTCAACATTGTGTGTGCAAGCGATAATATCCAAGTCGTAAGTGCGGTAAAAAATTAGGTGTCTACAGAATCATGGTTTAAAATTTTTTACCAAACATATTATTCGAATGTAAATATGGAATTAATTTTTGAAAGCCTTACCAAACACAGCTAACATTTTGTTTGATGGGAGTTTTATGTTTGCTACATGTTGAACAATATGTTTATTTACTGGATATTATATATGTTTACGTTAATTGTGAAACAATATGCATTTTTATGTTTTGAAAAATTATGGAAAGATTAATGTTAAAATGAAAATATTATATGTAATTTTGTTTGTGAACAAATTATATAAAATCGTGATTTCCAATTAAGTTGAACCATATTTAAATAATTTGATTTAAATTTATTTCTTAATTTAAATAAATTAATTTAATTTCAAATTTTATAAAATTATAAACAACAAATTAATTCTAATTTTATGTAAAATCAAATCCATTCGAATCATATTTACGCCTAGTGATGGGCTGGCAGGATGTGGGTTGATTTATAAGTGGAAAAAGGTTTATGCAGCACATGATGTGCAACAAAAAAAAAATGTTAAAAAAAAAAAAATTATTCTGTACCACTAATTCAATACCATTAATACACTATTAATTACATAATATTAAGTGGACTTTAGTTTGACTTTTATTTATTTATTTATTTTTTTTACACTTACTAACTCATTAGTGATACTTTTACAACTTTTAATTTTGTACTCTAAATCGAGACTGGTACAATGAATGGGTTAAATTTTGGTACAACGATAATGATATATACCATTAAAAGTGGTGCTCTAAAACACCACTAATGAGTTGACATACACATAAAAAAAAAAAAAAAAACCAGACACAACAATACTTCGACAGTAAGCCTCCGTTTGGGAAGTGGGTTGGTTTTTTAGTTTTTTGGTTTTTTTGACTATTTTAGCCTGGATTAAAAAACTTGGTTTGTGAGGAACTTTTTGACTCTTTTTTTTATGAGAGAAGAGTGTAATGATTATGGATTAGATGTAATATTTTGTTTGTTATGATTAAAATAACTTATTTTGCCTTTTGACTAAAATAGCCACAAAAATCCTTACCAAACTCAACCATTTGGTAACTAAGACCTACTATCACATCATTAATATTACTATTAAGGTCCCGTTTGGGAATATGCTAATTTAATAATTTTTTGGCTATTTGACTAAAATATGAACTAAAAAAAATTAGTATGTTTGAGATAACTTTTTAACTTTTTACGAAAAGATATACAAAAAATAAAAAGAATTTTTTTTTAACTTTTTAATATGAATTATTAATTTTTTAACTAATTTAATAATTTTTTAATTAAAAAATTTAATTGTCAAACGAGACCTAAGTAGTGATCCCAACCATTTCCTTTGATACAAACATTCCCGTTTGTCAAAACTAGGGGGCGTCCATGGACTGCCCTTTTCAGAACGAAACCGCCTGCGCTTTTTTTCTGGAAAGTATCAAAAAACCGAATATTCGATCGTATTACACGAGGCAATCTCAGTCACGCGCCCAACGAAAGCTAACTGGCCCCACTTCAGTCTCCAAAGCCAGGCGAGCCTCCCGTGACGCTCACGAAAACCAATCTCAGCCGTCCACCGCCTTTCCTTTTCATCAAACGATCCCGATCAAAATCCTCGTGAAGAAACAACCTCATCGGTATAAATACCACTATCAACTTTTCTCAATTATTTATCATCAGAGAGGGAGGAAAAAAAGACGCCCCTCAGTAAACAGTCGAGAGAAAGAAAAGTGTTTTTGCGATTGAAGTAACAATGGTGACGATCAAAGCCGTTAAAGCTCGCCAGATCTTCGACAGCCGTGGAAATCCAACCGTCGAAGTATGCCTGATTTCATTTTATCGACGTCCCTTTTTTTTTTCTTCCAATTTTATTTTGTAAATAATATTGAATGAAACTGTTAATTTTTATTACACGTAGTAGTGAAATACGATCCCCGTTGTTTCATTGTTTCGTTTGATTTCTGAGAAAATGCGGGAAAAAGAAAAGAAAAAATAGTATCAGAGTGAAGAACCGCCGCCGGTAGTTTGTTTGGTTGTGGGTTTGTTCGTGTTTTTTTTGTTCTACTGGTTGTTTGGTTATTTAGAGTACATCAGTGGGATTGTTGTTAAGCTTACCCCTCTCTGCTTGGAATCTATGATTTATCTTGTATGTGCCCTATTTTATGATCGGCTCTGTTTTGTAGTACGCTGCTGAATATTTTTACGCTCTATTTGGGTGAGAGATTGGAGGAGGGATTTGAGAAGGGAAAGGAAAAAATAAGGTGAAATGTAAATAAAATATACATACATTTCACATCTTTCGCACACTTTTTTCTTTTCCTTTCTAAATCTCTCCCCAAATTTCTTAACCAAACACGGCATTATAGTTTTTTTTCATTCGTGCTTGTTTTATTTTGTTTTGGAAGGGTGGTTAAAAGTTAATTTTTTTTAATTTATTTTTGAAAAATGTGATCCACTTCCAAAAAAAAGTCAAATTTTGGGTTGGATGGACACTTATAATTGCCGTTTGGTTTTCTTGAATGAAATTTTCTTTGGATCAAAACAAAACAAAAAAGAAAAATGGAAAAAAGAAAAAAGGCTTTGATTAACTGGGATATTTCCTGGAAAAAGCAAACAGTTGACGGAGTTGTTGATATTTTTTTGGTGTTTTGTTGGACATTTTTCGGAGTTAATTATATGTGGAGATAGTATCTGAATGTGGGGATGAATTTCAGGTTGATGTCATTTGTGATGATGGAACTTTTGCTAGGGCTGCTGTTCCCAGTGGTGCTTCCACAGGTAAAATCAGAGCTTCAAAAAATGTATAGATAAATTTGATTTAAACTTTGTATTTGTGTTGAAAGAATGATTAAATGATGAGCATTTACTGACACTCTTACACAACCTTGGTAATGTAAGGTGTTTACGAAGCTTTGGAATTGAGAGATGGGGGTTCAGATTATCTCGGAAAAGGCGTCCTCAAGGTGTGCGGATACTCTGTTTTTTGTCAGAAATTTCCTCTGTTTTTCGTTTGTTAGGATATGGAATACTAAAATTATGTTATTCGCATTATCTATCTACCATACGATAATCAATATCACGTCTATTGTACTTCTTAAAATGTTCAGCTCATTTGGTTAAGAGTTAATGAACTTTGCTTGACTTTTTCTTCTAAACAAATCTGTTTCTTGGTATAGGAACTTGTTAGTACTTCAAAATTTAAAGGGTTATTTATACTAGACCCTCATAAATTATTGCGAAGGATCGCTTTGACCTCTCGTTTTATAATTTAGTTTATAGGGTAAAGTGATATTTCTTACTAATTTAAGGGTCTATTTGTACCATTTTAAAGTTTAGGGGTCAAAGTAATACTTCTCAATAGGTTAAGGAGGCTATTTGTAAATAATCCAAATTTAAATCATGAGTTTCTCATGCTTGCAGATTATGTATCGGAGATTAATTAATTGTCTGTACCTAGGACTATCATCCTATGTCAGTGGTGGCTCTATAACATTTTATCAGTTTGGTCCGTGATAAAATTTTATGTACTACAGATCCTAATTTTACTTTTAAGCTATTTTGGAACTTGGCGTGCTTTTGCATTAACTCACCATTTAGCTGCCCAAGATTTGAATGACGGGAATTAAACAGAATGAATGAAAACTTTATACCAGGTATCTCATTGCTAGGAATAAAGTTCCTGTGTTAATGCTATCTAACCATTTGGTTTGGATAGGAATTCTTAGAAGTATGGATATGAACACGGGACACAATACATACTCATTGCCATGAGAAATTTTAAAAAATACAAGACATGGCTTCTGAATATAAGACATGACACTTGGGAGACACGTAAAAATAATTTTTATAAGTCATATTTAAATATTTAATTCAAAAAAATAAATTTTAAAATCTAAAGGAGAAGAATAAGTATATATTTACATCATTTTACTTTTATGATTGAATTCTAAGTTATTTTATTTAAATTTGTAATTTGTTTCATGTATATCTATGCCATAGACATGTGTTCCCTAAATATCTGAGGCAAGTTGTCTAGTAAATTTTTAAAAATAGTAAAACTATGTTTGGACATGTCTTTGGTAAGTGATGGAAAGTGTCCAACTAATTTTAGTAATTGTAGTGAGTTCAATTGTTGTAATTTAATAGGGTCAATTCTACTTTAAATGAATAAAAAAAAAACAACGCGCCATTAGTAAACATTAATGTGTTTTTAAGAGTGAAAAGATTGAGTACAACTTAACTTGTATAGTGCACAAAGTGGTTGTCCCGTGACTTGAACCTATTATCTCAAGGTTATTAGGTCAAGGTTTTACTAATGGTAAAACACACATTATAAAAGAAATAAAAATTAAAAAATAAAATAAAATCAATCATTTTTTAAACTTCTGAGGGATCAATTGAACCCACACTACATACTGTGGCAGCACCAATGGTTTGAGGGCGCTCTTTAGATGTGATTGGTCATGTTCATTGTAAACTGATTATGCTGTGTTGGTGTTTTGATGGTTCAGGCTGTGAATAATGTGAATTCAATCATCGGACCTGCATTGATTGGCAAGGTACGTTGCATCTGCATTCACTTTTTAGTGTTAATCTTATAATGTGATGTTGATTTGTGAAGCCTTGAGTAATTTTGGCCTGTATTGTGACTCATTTGGTGAATATGGTACTCTTTATATGCATTGCAGGACCCAACAGAACAGACCAAAATTGACAACTTCATGGTGCAAGAACTCGATGGGACAGTTAATGAATGGGGCTGGTGCAAACAAAAGGTGCCATGCATTTTATTTCTTGAGCCTTGAAGTAACACTTTCTTTTTTCTTTGTGGATGATCTTGCAACCCTATTAAATTTCATATCACCCACTTTTCATCTATGTCAGCTTGGCGCAAATGCTATATTGGCAGTTTCACTTGCTGTATGTAAAGCAGGAGCTATGGTGAATAAGATTCCCCTTTACAAGGTATTAGATTTTGCAGTTCTATGCAGTCCCTTCCTTCCCACTTTATTCAGCCATATTTCATGCTGCATGTTTCTTGTGTTCCTAATGCTGTCTTGTATTTCTTGTGTTCCTAATGCTGTCTTGTATTTTATCTACTTTGCAGCACATTGCGAATCTTGCTGGTAACAAAACTTTGGTGCTACCTGTACCTGCATTCAATGTCATCAATGGGGGTTCACATGCTGGCAACAAATTGGCAATGCAGGAGTTTATGATTCTTCCTGTTGGGGCTTCTTCTTTCACAGAAGCCATGAAGATGGGTGTAGAAGTATATCATCACTTGAAGGTATCTCTTCTTCTTTCCCTTTAAGCTGTGTTATGTGGAAGTGACACTATCCCAGGCTGATCTTGTTTCTTTATGTCTTTTTCAGGCTGTAATTAAGAAAAAATATGGTCAAGATGCCACTAATGTTGGTGATGAAGGTGGCTTTGCTCCTAATATTCAGGTCTGTAATTTCTCATTGTTTGTTTTGCATATTTTAGATTGCAATCTAAAAATGAGTAATACATCTTCTGTGTTTATTTTTTAAAGTCATGTTGTACTATTATCAATGGAACCCTGGCTGTAATATTCTCAATGGACTTAACTTGCTTGCACATTTAGTCTGCTAAACATCCAGTGTCTGTGGACTCTCAGCAAATCAAGCTACGATTGCTGCCCAAATTATTTACTCTGATCCAATACACTTGAAAGATTTTCCATGAATAGATTTGACATAATCTGTTTCTCCATTGAGTTGCTTTCAGTAATTATAAATGTTATGTGATTTACAGGAAAACAAAGAGGGCCTAGAACTGCTGAAGACAGCTATCGCAAAAGCTGGATATACTGGAAAAGCAAGTTCTCTCATATTTTATGATTATAGCTTGCCTTTCTCTCAATTATTCATTACCTTATTAGGTTGATGTTTTTGTGTTGATCTAACTGGTTGGTTTTCTTTACAGGTTGTAATTGGAATGGATGTTGCTGCCTCGGAATTCTATGATGGCAAAGATAAGACTTATGATTTGAACTTCAAGGAAGAGGTGGTTTATCTACTCTCTAAATCCACTTTAGTTAGAATGGCAATTAGGTTCTCTTGTGTCTGACTTTAAGAAGTTTGGCAGATAATTATGAGGAGTTGCTTCAATCTGTCAGTTCTATTCTTTTAACTGAAATAGTCTGTAAACTTTAAGAAGCTGAACCAATGTTTTTTTCATGTTGTAGAACAATGATGGATCACAAAAGATATCAGGAGATAGTTTGAAGAATGTCTACAAGTCATTTGTTGCTGAATACCCAATTGTATCTATAGAGGACCCATTTGATCAGGATGACTGGGAACACTATGCGAAGTTGACCAGTGAAATTGGAGAGCAAGTGCAAATTGTTGGTGACGATCTACTTGTCACAAACCCTAAGGTAAAGTTTATGTATATAAATAAAGTAACCATATTGTAAGTTCTTTAAACAAGTGAATGGTAAATGTCGGATATATCTGATGTACCATAATGCGATTTCTTAAAAGAGCTTATCTTGTATATTTTAATACTTCTTGTTTTTGGCTGTTTCAGCGTGTAGAGAAAGCAATCAAGGAGAAGGACTGTAATGCCCTCCTTCTGAAGGTAATGGTCACTGTTTTTTCCTTTAACCTTTATCGCTTTGTCATGAACTTCAAAAAATTAGTAAAATTGTGTGGAGTCCTGGACTAATGTTTCAAAGCAAAGATCTGAATAGTTTCAGCCGTCTGGGGAACTTCTTGTGAGTAGAGTTATGCTGTTTATGAGCCATAATGCTGTGGACAAAAAACTTGCCCTAGTAAATCACGGCCAGCCTAATGTCTTTACTTTTATGGTTTCTCAGGTGAATCAAATTGGTTCTGTTACTGAAAGCATTGAAGCTGTGAAAATGTCTAAACGTGCTGGTTGGGGTATAATGGCAAGCCATCGAAGGTATGTTGTCCTCTCTTCCAAAACTGGTTTTACTCTTTTGTTGTTTAGTGACATTGTTGATTGAGATGGTTTCACTGATCTTTTTTATTTTTATTTTTATTTTTTTAATGCAGTGGTGAAACTGAAGATACTTTTATTGCAGATCTTTCAGTTGGTTTGGCTACAGTAAGTTCTGCTCTTTTTTCCTGGTTGCCTTTTTTTTTGGTGTTTTTTTTTTAAAAATTTATCATTTTTTTTGTGCGTAATCTTCAAGCACTATGAGAGGATCTTCAAGCACTATGTGAGGACACTGGTTTCCATTATTTTGTTGTTTTTCCCTACAATTTCTCAGCATGATGAGATGACACTACAACGTAAATCTTCTATTTGTGAACTTTCTATACTAGTTATGTAGCTATAGTGATTGTGTAGACTTTGATTCTAATAGAGTTTGGGACCTGCTCTTTTCCACAAGTGAACCTTACACACTGGTTGTGTGGTTATCTCAGTTTTGTAGACTTGGGGTTTAAATTTCAATTATTTCTTGATTACATGATGAAAAAGGGGGTTTAACTGGAGTTGCAGAGAATGAATCTTCATATGGACTGTGCCCCAAGTTTATCTTATCTGATTACATATTCTTGCTGTGAAACAGGGCCAGATCAAGACTGGAGCTCCTTGCAGATCTGAACGCCTTGCTAAATATAATCAGGTGAATTTCATAGCCTCTAGCCTTTTTCCATTTGGGTCAATATGAAGAGGCTAAATGGGGCAGCCATTGTCTGTGCCCATATATGTGCTTACCAATAGAACTGATTACAAATCAGGTGGGTCAGAACGGTTTCTTCTATTTGATTCTTGGAGAGATAAAATGAACAGACGACGACTTGTTAAACATCTCAGGTCTGGCCAGCCTTGCCCTACCATATCCCACCCATTGGCATTTTATCAAATAATAAAAAATAATCCCACCCATTGGCATTTTATCAAATAACATAAAATCATCCCACCCATTGGCTGTCTTAGTAAGGGCTTTAAGACTTTCATAGTTGATAAGCCCCTGATTATCTTGTAGATAAAGTTTGGGCCTGTTGGGTTACTTGTAGTGTTTTCCTGTTCGTGGCTCCCTTGTGGCTTGTGCCTTGTAGTCTGCAGGTGAATCCCAGATAGTAGTTATTTCAATAATGATTGAGACCCTCAAAAAATACAACCTCCACTCACCTGTGATTGGTCCACAAAGGAAAGAACAAAAAAATAAAAAATAAAAAAACACAAACACAAATACATGATTGGTCTACATCACTTTGGGGTGGTGGGGGTCTCCAAAAATGGGGGTCCACTCATTTTCCTAGTTATTTTGTGTCATTGGTCCATTATTGGTAGGTGGGTAATATTGAATGAATAATCTGCTTAGTTTTTAGTGGCATGTTGGATTTCCCAATTAATTTTTCGAGCAGTCACTGAGGCTGTAGGTGTCTTTACTAGAGAATTATCTTGCCATTACATTCATCACTCTATTTTATTTATTCCTAATTTATATTTAACTTAACTATTGATGAAGTTGCCCTATTTTTCTGCACTGCAGCTTCTAAGGATCGAAGAAGAATTGGGATCTGCAGCAATCTATGCAGGAGAAAAATTCCGAGCACCAGTGGAGCCGTACTAAACCATCCGACTCTTTTGAGGCACAATGGAATATACTTAAATAAGCTTCATGTTCTGGCTTTACCCACCATCCCTTTTTCTCGTCTCATCTTGGTTGAACAATTCTTGCAGTGTTTGAGAAGCAATCTAGTTTTAAAGAATATGATTGTGGTGACTTCAGTGTAGAAATCTTAAAAACCTTTTTGGTGGAATTTAGAGTGATGAGAGGACCTCCTTGGTTTGAGTGTGTTATTTTGAGTTCTACTCGATATAAAGCTTTGTTTTGTGGTGGAGATGTCATCTTGATCTTGAACTGCATTATTTTTAACTGAGCTCGGGTTTTATGATATGTTAGCATGCTGGCTGCGATGAATTGGTTACCTTGATGGGCGACCTCGTTGGTTGGTAGGATGGTTGTTATCTCTATGTAAATTATTTTTTTAAGTGACTTAACTTGAGATAAATACAGACCTAACAGTAATATTCTGGAGAAATTTGAAAACATGTTCTCTGAATTTTTAGCTTTTCAGATAATACAAATCTATATTTAAGGAGGGAAGGGGGTTTGGATGGTTGTCCTACATGTATATTTAATTCAACGGATTGCTTCTGCCTTTCATCCAGGGTTCACTTTCAAGATTTATTTTGTTTGGTTTTAGAAAATCAACTCTAATCCAATGGCTAGGATTGTTTTTACATTTTTATGGGTTTTAAAAAATTAAGCCTACTTCTTAGAAAATTAAGTTCCTATTTTTTCTGTACCTTTTTTTTTAAGTCAAAATTTTTAATATTTTAAAAAATATTTTATTTTTTAGATGCACTTAATTTAAATACACTTAAAAATTATAATATATATGTAATTTTTTTAAAAAAATTCATCAAATACAAAAATATAAAAATTTAGTACATGTTTGCATTTTTGTGTATTTATTAAAATTTTAAAATATTTTTTTACTTTTTAGGTGCATTTAAATTTTGTGCATTTAAAAAGTAAAAAATTTACTTAAAATATTAAAAAAAATTACTAAAAATAAAAAAGAATAAAAAAATAAGAGATTCATTTTTTAAAAAAACAATAAAAACCAACAAAATGTTGATTTTGAAAAAGTATTTGTTCTATGAGGCAATTCGGATGGTTAGATTAATTTAATCTAATGATATTTCTTAGCACTTCACCCATCATTGAGGTAGAAAGATGTTTGAGGGGTTGTTTGGGATGATCTAAGTGTACTTTTTGTCTTTTTATAAAAAGATGTACAGAAAAGTAGAAAGGTGATGTGATGAAAAAAAGATAAAAAGATAAAAAGATGGATTATTTGAAGTATGCCAAACTTGGTCTGAGTTTTAAATTTTGAAATTATTCATCTTGTTTAGTTTTAATTTTCTAAAGTTGAGTTTTTTATTTTTATTCTTAGTGATTAGTGATTTATTTTTTATTATATATATATATATATATATTTTATATTTAGTGAATTTTTTTAAAAAAAAATCTCAAAAATATTATATTTTTTAAGTGTATTTATATTAAGTGTATCTAAAAATTATTTTTTTTTTGAAAATATTAAAAAAATTAATGAAAATAGAAAAATATGAAAAACAAAAGTTCAATTTTGTGAAAAGTAGGCTTAATTTTCTCAGTTTTGCCTTTCCTCCCAGCGCCCCCCTTTTTTTTTGGAATAAATTATACTCACACCCTTTGAGAATTGTATTTAATACATATTACTCCCTGACGTTTGGGAAATTACATTGACCCTTTGTCATTGTAATTATTTAGATGGAATTAACGTTGGTATCACAAAGATGTTCAAGTCATACTCTCTCTTTTCTTGCTTTAATTAACTATTTTTTTTTCTTTCCTTTCCTTTCCTTTGCTTTATTTCTTTATTTAATGTAATTTCTTTTATTTTTTACCAGGAGTTGTTGTCTTTTATATAAGTAGGAGGGTTTGTGAAATGAGACTATTAACCACATGGGTGAGAATGTAATTTCTGTAACGTCAGGGGTGGAATGAAATCAGACTAAACCTCAGGGGGTGTTAGCGTAATTTACCCATTTTTTTTCTTTCATTTTCTCTCTCATCAATCTCACTTGTTTGATTTCAAATTTCAAAGATCCCTCCTCTCTCGAGTCTCGATATCTTCCCGTGACAACCCAAACATGCATATTATAGTCACATTTATTTGATTGTGTTTGAATTTGAAGTTGTGATATGTGTTTTGTGGTTAATTTGTGTATATCTATTTGATTTGAAAACTATCTGTTATGATTTCTGTTTAGAATTTGAAACAAAAAGCTTAAATGATTTCAGAAACCAAAATTGACAAGATGAATAAGATAATTAGAATATTTAGAACCATTTGAAAAGTTTAATTAAAATTTGATTACGTAAAATTAAGCATTGTTTAATTTGTTCTAAGCCTTGATTAATTAGCCTAAAGACCTAATTAGAGAGTTAAACTAATCAACTAGTATATATATGAGCCTTAAGAGAGAATTAGCTTTGAGTTGAAAAAAAAATCTGTGGAGAAGTTCTAGAGAGAGGTAGTTCTAGAGAAAGGAAAGGCTTGATCTTGAAGGATTTACATGAAGATTGGAGAATTGAAGGGAGAAGCTCAAAGTTTTGCAAGAACTTAGAAAATTCAAGGCTCTAGGTAAGGGTTCGACCCTTAATTCTTGAAGATGATTCATCGTAGAGTTGTGTTCATGGAGTAATAAAGATCATTTGCATGTGTTTTGTAAAACATTGTCAAAAAGATGATGACAATTGAAGTAGCTGTACATGCATACATGATTTTGTCATGTTTTACCATTTTTGAGTTTGAATTCTATCATCCATGTCAAATTGGAAACTAATTTGCACATGCATCATTGATTTCTAAAGCTTCAAGAGTTTAGTCATATTTTGAAGAGTACAAGAGAAAAGAGTTTGAAAATCTCATATGTATGAAGGTTTTGAGCTCAATTTTGCTAAATTGATGAGTTTGAGCAAAGGGTTTACAAATGATCATGTCTTTATGTTTATTGAAGAGTTTTCAAGCTTAAAGAACAAGTCATGCAAGAATTTTGCTTTTGAATTGGTGTTTGGAAGCTCAATCTTTTAATTTTGAAATCCAGAATTTTTGTAGATTGCTCAAGTGACCAAGTGGTGGCTTAAGTGAACATTGTGAGCTTCTAGTATTTTTGCAGAACATCACAAACCGGTCAAGTGATCATAGGATGGCTCGAACGCACATTTTGAGCATCTAGTACTTTTGTAGTCTTTGCAGACCCTTCTAGCGACCAAAGGTTGGCTCGAGCAACCGACCGACCGACTTTGTTTTAGCATATTTTGACAAGTTGTTTTATGATCATATCATCATTCCCATCTTCTTCTGAGCATATTTAGGCATGAATTATGAATCATTGGAAACTAGTAAGTAAGAAACGACACAAGTAATTGAATTAGAAAAGGGAATAAAGAATTATTGGATTGAACAATGTGATTCCATATGTGTATGTTTGTGTAATGTGTAGGTTGGAACATCAAGGTCGACTATTGGACTAGTCAAGGTGAGTAATGTCTTTGTAAAGATATTTTCGTATAAATTACTTTGAAATCGTCTTTGCTTTATGATGGTTTATGCAATCAATATTTTGATTACAAGATATTTGATAAGACAAGTCTTTTCTGAAATGATAAGATATGTTACGAATCTTCGATTGTTCATGACACGCTAAGTTTTCTGAACAAGTACTTTTGATATGCTAAGTTATGCTATGAAATTCTGAAATGTGTATGATATGATAAGCTTTCTGAAAATGGGATTTTGCTAATAATGAATGAGTTTCCTTTTGATCAACTACTGTGACAACTTTGAAAATGTAGTAAGGGTGGGCAACGGTTTATCTGACCCGCACAACCCGCCGTAACCGACTCTACCTGCACAAATCCGACCCTACCTGCATGCATAAATAGGGCGGATGCGGGTCTATTTTTCCTTACAAAATCGGGTTCGAGTCAAACCTGACCCTACCTGTACAAATATGCAACTCGCCCGCATGATCTGCAGCTTATGTTTAAAAGAAAAAAAATCTAGGTATGTCTCTCTCAAATTCATTTTTTTGATCCTCCTTTCTCTCTCTACCTAGCTGTCTCTCTCTTTTTCTCTCATCTGGGTATGTCTCTTTCTCTTTCTCTTTCTCTCTCTCTCTCTCTCTCTCGCTCCCCTACCTCTTTGTCGCCGTCACCACCATTATCTCTCACCCCTTACTTGCCGTCTCTTTTATCTCCTCTCTATCGCCATCGCTCTTCTCTCCTCTACTGCTGCCGTCGTCTCTCCATCCCCTCCTCTTCTCCCTATTGCAGTGTCGCCATTGCCCCAAACCAGATCTAGAGATGCTAGATCTAGAAGATCTACAAAAAAAGAAAAAAAAAAAACCGAAGGTACCTAGATCTCCCAGATCTCTCCTCTCTTCCTTCATTTATTTATGTTTTGCAGACTTGTTTTGTTGTGGGTTTGTAACTTTCTGCTTCTTTTATTTAATAAAAGAAAATGCTTTTGGTTGTGTTGTGGGTTTGCAAAGGGGTTTGTAACATTTTGCTTTGTATATTTAATAAAAGAAAATGTTTTTATTGTTGAATAATAATAATAAAATTGTTTGTAAATCACAAAAATAAGGATGTGTTTGAATAGGTTGAATAATAATAATAAAGTATAATTTTTGCTCAATGCAGAACCTCCAAAAAAAAAAAAAAATGATTTGTCAATCATTTGCACTAGGTTGGACTTTAGAGAGATTTTTTATATTAATCATACACTGTTTGTTAACCATAATCTGCAGGAAAAAAAAATTGCGGAAAAAAATCTGTTTAAAAAAAAATCTCTCAAAAGAAAAAATCTCTCTCATTTGTAATTTTGCACTATGTTGAAGCACAAAAAAAAAAAAAAAAAAAAAAAAATAATTCACAAACCGCCTGCAACTGCCTGCGTAACCACATGACCCACCTGTTCGATCCGCAACCTGCACTGTGGGCAAACGCTGTTCCATTTTTTCCCAACCTGCACTCCATTGGGCGGGTCCAACCCGTCATCCGAACCGCACAAAATCAATTCGTAAAAACCCGTAAAATGTACTTTGATCTTTAATGACTTCCGTTTTGCCTTTAAATCATCTTGTACGCTCTGTATAAGTCATTGATTCATTGTAAACATTCTATATGATGTCGATCTTTAATGATCATTCTGCATGACTCTGATTGTAATTGTTTTGTATGATATCTACCCGTTATAAACATTCTGTATCAAGTCGTCCAATGTGGGTGTTTCGCATAAGTCGTCCAAAGTGGGAGTTCAGCATAAGTAGTCCAATTTGGATGTTTTGAATGATGTCGTC